GAAGAGTTGCCGTCATTGACACGGAAGGCGAACACTGTGTGCTTCTGTACCCTCCTGTTCGGGTACAAGACAGCCCCGTTGCTGTGGTCCGCCATGTTGGCGAGGATACAACAATCACTCCTAGAAGGGCATGAAGGTCAACACTTGGTGTGCTGTGGTTATTATAGGGGGACCTGCGCACACGGAACACCATCTTGGCCATGGGTGCTGACCACCGCATCGGCCTTGGGCTTCAAGGTGTCCCTCAAGAAGGGTGAACGTTCCAGGCAGGTATCTTGGATAGGCATCAGGATGACGCTCAGAGATGCATTGATCCTGGGCCTGCCTGCCAAGTACACTGGAGAGCTGGTCACGGTTCTGAAACGTTGGGAAGGGGCTGGCATGGCTTCGTTGAAGGAGCTCAGACAAGTGTGCGGCAAAGTTGCGTGGCTTGCAGGAATCTTGCCAATGTGGCAGTGTTCTAAAAGGTACTGCATACAGGGCTGGCCGACATAAACGATTCAAAGGAAGAGGCCCGCCGACAGTCACGGCGAGACTCCGGGGACAAATCCGCGATGTTCCACATCAAGCAGTTGGAATAAGCGCGGCCCTGGTGGCCTACCTCAACTCGGCGACGGAAAACCCGACAAAGAAATTCAAACTGGACACCAAGAAATACCCCACAGCATCAGTCATCACCGATGCGAGTCCAGAAGGCTTGGGAGCGGTCCTGCTGGTGAACAACAAGGTCACCAGGGCATTGAAATCCCCAGTGCTGATTGGAGATGCGGAACAATTGAAGTTCCCGCTGGGTGAATCCGCTTCACAAGGCATCGTGGGGGCGCTGGCGGTGCTGGTGGCTATCAAACATTGGGCAAAGGAGTTGGCCACCTGCAACGTGACGCTCCACGTCCAGTCGGACAGACTGGTGGCCCTGGCCCTTACACAACGTTTGGCCGTTTCGACGCCAGCCCTCAACTTCCTGGGGGGCGGAGCTGTCGATCGCATGCGAGACTGCGGGCATAGAGGACCTGAAAGCTACGCGCAGTACCACGGCTGACTACCTTAGTCGCCCGACCAAGCAACGGACGCTGCCCCCTGCCTCAAGAGCTGGAAGGGGTCCCGGTGCAAACACCTGCGTACCTGGCTTTTATGCATTGCCAACACCTGGCGAAGCACCGTTTCTTTGGGCTTCTGATTTGGCCGCCGAAAGTGCTTGGGCCACTTTGCGCTGACGGAAGCTGACATTTCTCCAAGGAGAAAGTGGCGGCCGCGTTAATGCTGTGGCCGACCGACACATTCCCCTTTTTCACATGCCAGAAGGTCAATGCATGTTCTAGGACACACGCCTAACACATGAAGGTACATGTTCTGCATGATAGTTTAGGCTCGATGAATTCTCTAGTGCCACATGTAGCCCACAGGCCACCGGCCGGCCTGCTCAAAGGGCAACCGGGCATTGTTCTGCTTGTGCAGCCTGACCAAGCACAAAGGCAAGATGGAACCCATGCATCTGGACGACAGCCTCCCTTCCTTGTGCACTTCCTCTCCAGAACGCCTTTCAATGTCCCGGTTGGTCAACCAAGAAGCAGTCAACTTGGCGACATTCGTCATAAGGAGGCCAAATATGTGGGCAAATCACCGACTGAGAGGCAGGGACTGCTTCCTGATTCTGGATTAGCACTTCCGGAGCATGTGAACCTCCAGGCAGTTCACCCGATGAGGCCAATGAAAGTGCTGGAAAGTCTCCACAAAACTTGGGGACTCCTGGAAACACAGAACCCAGCCGAAGCAGATCTCCAGCCAAAGCAAAAAAAGTATATTAGCAGGGGTCATCAGCCTTTTGAGCCCGTCGAAGAATCACCCTTGGTGGAAGTCATTGCTGGCGTCTCCGGCACGAAGGTTTTCAAGCGACACAGGGCCCAGCATCTTGGGAACAAGTCCAAAACCTGGCAACTTCAGTCTACCGAAGCCGCTCCATGCCAGTGTTCCCCAAAAAGGGATTAAACAGAGAATGTCGAAGGGTATCAAAGTCAGCAGAAAGGCTGGCAGCCCACAGGGTAGGAAAGACTTCCCCAAAAGACAGGGTTTCAGAACAACTCTTCCAAACCGTCCCTGCAGAAGGCGCTTGACGTGATGAAGTCCAAAAAGGCTATGCGCGCGGCAATGGAGAGCGTGGAAAGCGACTGTAGACTACTTCGCAAATTCAAGCCGAGTGGCACGTTCGGCAAAACGTCACGCTTTGAAGGCCACACCTGAAGCAGCCCACGTCTGCCATGCCCCTCACACCGGAAAAACTCCAAGCCTTGGCAGGTGCGTTGAGGACGTCGGGCTACAAGTCAGCGCACACACGCACACATCTAGCCGAAGCCAAACTGTTTCACATCGAGAGAGGCTGGCCTTGGTCCAGCCTTCTGACAGGCATTTCAAACCCTGCACGGAGGCGGTCAAGAGGGGCATGGGACCTGCAAAGAAAGCTCCAGAGGTGCCAGAAGAAATTTGGAAAGCTCGGCCCCTTCTACCTGACGAAGGAAGCACCACAGGAAAAGTGAAACTTGCAGCGCATCTTTTCGCTTGCGGGGTTCATTGGGTGATGAGAGAGATTGAGATAGCGGCACTGACTGCAAAGAATGCGGTCTTTGACGACAAAAGCCGGTTGGTCACACTCATGTGGCAGGAATCAAAGATGGACCAAGAAGGCGCGACCATTTCCAGGACACTCCAATGTTTTTGCTCTGGTGCATGTGACATTTCTTGCCCTTATGCTGTCCTGGAAGTGTTGGTCAATCATGCTTGTCTACATGTAACGGAGGTGCTTCACTCTCTGTCTGCATCGAAGGTACGGCGGCGACCAAAGCACAATTGGTAGCTGATTGGAAAGAACTGTTTGGTAAGAACAGCACTGGCCATTTCACTCGCAGATCTGGTGCCTTGCAGTATATCCGTGGTGGATGGTCTGTCAGCCAAGTAGCATTCTTGGGCAGGTGGAAAATCAATGTCATCTTGGAGTACGCGAAGGAAGCTCTCCAGTCCATCCCTTTGAATGCGGACAAGAAGCTTTTCGGAGGCTCAGAGAAATGATGCCCCAAGCCGTCCGAGCACCCAACATCAGTCCAACTGGTGGGGAAGCTCCGCGCAGAAATCGGTTCGTTTATGGACGGCTCGAAGGCCTAACCCGAAGAGCCCAACAAGAAGGTCCAACTTCTGGAATCGAAATTCAATGGCTACACCAAGTTCCTCCCATCTGGTGAAGTCCAACAGGGCACAAGTGGTTCATCGCAACAGCAAGGTCTTCCTTTGTGCCCCATCATTCATGCGGAAGACGGCTTGTGGCTGGAACTACTACAATTCAGATTATGAGTTTTCGATTGAAGACGGCACGAAGCTATCTTGCCAAAAATGCATAACATCTGCGCAAACGCAAGGAGGATGAATGTGCAGATGGCTGTTGGGTCAGTGGATATGCCATTGGCCTGACAGCTTTGTTCCAAGGCTGAACCAGCAGGCACAGACAGGCTGCAGCACCGACCATAGCAACCGGTGCAAGCTGTGGGGTGGGAGGTTGGACCATTCTTCATCCATCAGTGGCAGCGGTTGCCCTGCATGAAAATAGAACATTTTCAAACTGACAAGAAGTGCCACTACTGGGGTGCCATTTTGGCTCAAGATTCCCCCAGCAGTGGCACAATGATGTTTTTGATTCGCAACCGCCCACCCAATTGGGTGAAGTTTGGGTGGAGGATGAATGTGCAGATGGCTGTTGGGTCAGTGGATATGCCATTGGCCTGGCAGCTTTGTTCCAGATCTGAACCAGCAGCCACAGACAGGCTGCAGCACCGACCAAAACAACCGGTGCAAGCTGTGGGCTGGGAGGTTGGACCATTCTTCATCCATCAGTGGCAGCGGTTGCCCTGCATGAAATGGAACATTTTCAAACTGACAAGAAGTGCCACTACTGGGGTGCCATTTTGGCTCAAGATTCCTCCAGCAGTGGCACAACGATGTTTTTGATTCACACCCGCCCACTCAATTGGGTGAAGTTTGGGTGGAGGATGAATGTGCAGATGGCTGTTGGGTCAGTGGATATGCCATTGGCCTGGCAGCTTTGTTCCAAGTCCGAACCAGCAGCCACAGACAGGCTGCAGCACCGACCGAAACAACCGGTGCAAGCTGTGGGGTGGGAGGTTGGACAATTCTTCATTCATCAGTGGCAATGGGTACTACTGGTATAAAACCAGTTGTTTTTTTTTGAGGAGCGGAATTCCAAGCACACCGTTTGTGCCCATCACTAGTGAAGATTTCCAATAACCTGGAAGGGAAAAGGGAACATGAAAGACAACACCTCACCTTCTTCTTGAGGAGCTTGTAATTGCACACCCCTCCTCAAGACTCTCTGCTCCAAAACCGTGCGCTTCGGGGACAAAGTTTAGGACTTGAGTCTTCAGAACTTTGGAAACCTGGTGTGTGGAACAGCCTCGCTGCAGGGAATCTAACCTAGTTGACCTAGCTGCAGAACCTTGCAAACCTCCTGAACACCTTGGAAACCTTCAGCGGAATTGAATTTTAAGTCACCGAGTAATTTCTCCAAACCCATCCGAAGTCTGATGAAGTATGATGAAGGGTACAGTTCGAATCTGTCGAAGGTCAGTGAAGGTCAGTGTTCTGAGGTGATCTTCGTGGTCGCATTCATTGCCCAGCTCACAATTTGCCTACCTGGTACGATGGTTCGGACTCCAAGCCATGCCGAAATCTGCCAAACATGTGGGCGATCTTGGCCACAGTCCAGAGTAAGTCATAGTCTTCAAGGAGGCATCAATACCGCTCAGTTTGTGAGTGTTGCTTTTGTGAAACCTGAACACATCAATGACGCAGCATTTAGCCTCGACTGGGCTGTGACAGGCACCTCGGAGTTTTGTGCACATTTATATTGCAGTATATTCTATACACGAATGCTTTCACTGAATCGCTGAAGCACTGAGCACATTGTGATTTGTTCTTGGTGCCTGCGCAGCTGCCTTCCTCAGTTTGTGCTATTTTACCGTGGGCATCATGTCCTTCACTGTCAGCATATGTCTCATGAGCGGCCAACTTGCCGATTTGGAGGTGCTACTAGATGGCCCGAACCAGGGGTGTCCTATTGGCATGAAGATGTGAACACACGTGAGTGCTCACATGAATTCCAGGCTACAGTTAGATTCTAACAGGTAGATACAGGCATGCAGAGAGTCTGAGAAGCCGAGTAGCGCGGCACATAGGGTTGAGAAGGAGACAATGCCAATGAGAAATCGAGTATGAGAAAGCTGATGAACATTTCGTGGCAAGGATGTTTCGATGGTGGGAATGCAGGGCAGCCTTCCACATGCATACGCCTGCATACACATCAAGGTTTTATTCAAGACGTCTTTTGCCTGCAACTTTGATAATACCAACAAGATGGAAACTGTTGTGAACTGTGCCCACCCGACGGCCCTTGCCTGCAGATCCTCCCAGATAGGAATCCGGAAACTTGCAGTTTCCTCACGTGCCAGGTAACTTCATCTCAGTCGGTCCAAGAGTTGATGTGCGAAGCTTCCAAACAGCTTGGACGGCCCCTCACAGCACTTGCGTACCAAGGCCAGCATGCGAACACGGGAGCCCACTGGGTGAGAATATCGAACAGCGTTCCAAAGTTCCCTTTGCATGTTTTGGATGTTTTGGGCCGGAAAATAATTCATCTAAATGTGCATTTTACTTGGTTTTGTATAGTTGGCGTAAGGTTTGCAGAAAGTTGTTTCAACTTCCATTGTGCCATAAGCGAATCGTGAATCGTGAGACGAATTCATGTAATGTCACGCGCGGCTCGAATAAATATGCGGAGGATGCATCATGTGAGTGACGATGCAACATGACACATGCACACCAACCAACTGAATTCAATTTCAATCGTTTCTTTTGGGAGGAGCATCTGTTTTGGAGCTATTTGATGTTCCTGGTTCCAGGGCTTAGATCCAGCAGACAGGGCAGTGCCCGTTTGTAGGGGAACAGCCTTCCAAGGTAGAAAATCGATTCCAACTTTCCAAAGTTGAATCGAGAGTTTCCTGTAAGCTAGCAGCTAGCGTATACGAAGTGTAAGCAAACCGTAAAACCTGTTTTATCAGTCCCCTGGCCCACAAGACCTCAGCAAAGCTGCTTCAAAATTGCGTCGCCAACGTGCTCACAACGAAGGGATTCGGACTCGGACTCTTTCTCCATTTCTCCACCATTAGTGAAAGCAGCAGTTCTTCATAGTTCTTCGGATGCTCCTGCTGGTTCATCTTCTGCCTACTAAACATGCACCGCCAAAGCTTTTGCACTCCTTTGCTCAGTCTTGTTTTTTCGTTGTGCAAACACCTCAAGTACCATAGGCCAGCCGTTTGCCGTAAGCGAATCGTACGTAAGCAACATCTTTGTTAAACCTTAACGTAAACAAGACCCTGGAAACCGTCATTGTGTAAACTTTGCTGCAAGCCAGAATTGTCGGTCGTCCAAAATGAAAGACTTTTGACCATGTGACCGTCTGAGAACTACGCGGAGCTGCGCTGTTGTGATCAAGTTTGTTTGGGGCATCCTCCTTGTCGTGGTTTGCAAGTTTAATTGCTGCTTTTTAATGCATGTCTGGACTGGGAGAGGTTGCAAATGAACACAAAATGAGTCAACCCTCCAGTCAACCTGCAGCGGCGTAACGATTGTTCTCTTTATGTCAGGTCGACGCCTCTTGCGAGGTGAGAAGGTGGAGGAGCAGGGATCCGTTGCAAAGGGCAATGGTGCAATAGCTTTTTCATTTTACATGGAGGAAAGGCCGGATTATGATTGCATCAAACGAACGAAAGCAGAACGCAGTATGCTTGCTTTGATTTTTTTCCTCAAACATGAGCCGTTGCTACTTATTGTATAATTTGGTTTTGTCATGTTTTGTCTCCTTCCCTCTTCCTCCCGTTACCTCTTGTTATTTAGCACTCCTTTCACAAGCGTCAAGTGGCAGGAGCTTGGCTTGGAAGATGGTAGCGTTGTGAATGCTTTGGTGAGACAGCCAGGTGGGCCATGGTGGGGTATGGTGGGAGTTGGCATGAGTTGGCAATGGCAGGAAGATTCAAGAAGACTTCTGACATATTCTGACATCCTGTGACCAATCGTGCAATTCCTGCAAAACTCAGAGCCCGTCGAGGTGTCCAGCAGCTTCCCAAAGTCGCCCATGATTGTGATTCAGAGCGATTGATTGCGATCTAGCTAGACAAATCAGATGACAAGTCAATCTACAATTCTGGACGCCAAGCCCCTTTTCTCTCAAGGGACCCAATTCAAAATATCGCTGCAACATCCTGCCGCATCAGGATCTGTGCTTTGCGGGCACCGAAAGTGTGGGGCATTTGCTGCGCTAAAACATGATGGTGCAGTGGCCACATGGGGACATCCTGATTGTCTAGGTTCCAGCCCTCTCAACAGGCATTTGGACTGGGCTTGGCTGATCTTTTTCCCAGATCTTTTTCCCAGATCTCCACAGTCTTGAGACAAGTTTGATGTTTGATTGCTAATTAGTATGTTTGTATAATCACCCAGTTCAGAAGGGGTTCTCAATATCAATCTTGTCATGCTTGTATCTGTTTGTGCTTGGGTAAGATTTCTGAAGCTTGGACTCCTTTGGCAAAGTTGGTGGACTTGCAAAGTCACCACACGTGTGACAGGACGGTGAATGCCCATAGGCTCTATGCGTCAAGCTGTGCCTTTGCCGCCATCACTGATGAGGACCGAAGCTGCAGGGACAGGGCAAGACGACTAAGACGACCTATGGCCATATGGCTTTTATAACTCCGTTGAATCAGAATCAGTGCTTGTGTCAATGACACACACACAGATAGATATTACATACATATGTACGTATGATGTATGATGTACGTACGTACGTACGTACGTACATGCGTATGTATGCATGCATAGATGGATGTATGTAATGTAATGTAATGTTATGTTATGTAATGTTATGTAATGTCATATCATGTCATGTCATGTAATGTAATGTATGGTATGTACGGTATGTATGATATGTATGGTATGTATGGTATGTACGGTATGTACGGTATGTACGGTATGTACGGTATGTACGGTATGTACGGTATGTACGTATGTATGTATGTATGTATGTATGTATGTATGTATGTATGTATGTATGTATGTATGTATGTATGTATGTATGTATGTATGTATGTATGTATGTATGTTATGTATGTATGTATGTATGTAATGTATGTATGTATGTATGTATGTATGTATGTATGTATGTATGTATGTATTAATGTAATGTAATGTAATGTAATGTAATGTAATGTAATGTAATGTAATGTAATGTAATGTATGTAATGTTATGTTATATAATGTAATGTTATGTAATGTTATGTTATTTCTGTTATGCAATGTAAGTAATGTTATGCAATGTAATGTAATGTTGTAATGTAATGTATGTTATGTAGTGTTGTGTAATGTAATGTATGTTTTGTAATGAAATGTAAGTAATGTATGTAAGGTGTATGTATGTATGTATGTATGTACTTATGTATTGTTATGTATGTTATGTATCGTATGTATGTTATGTATGTATGTATGTATGTATGTGTATGTGTAGGTGTGTATGTATGTAGTATGTATGTATGTATGTATGTATGTATGTATGTATGTATGTAAGTAGTAATGTATGTAATGTATGTAATGTAATGTAATGTTATGTTATGGTCTGTTATGCAATGTAATGTAATGTTATGCAATGTAATGTTATGTTATGTAATGTTATGTAATGTTATGTAGTGTTGTGTAATGTAATGTAATGTTTTGTAATGTAATGTTATGCAATGTAATGTCATGTAATGTTATGTAGTGTTGTGTAATGTAATGTAATGTTTTGTAATGAAATGTAATGTTATGTAATGTAATGGAATGTAATGTATGTATGTAATGCATGTATGTACGTATGTATGTATGTATGTACGTATGTATGTATGTACGTATGTATGTATGTATGTATTGTAATGTAATGTTATGTAAGGTTATGTAATGTTATGTAATGTTATGCAATGTTATGTAATGTTATGGTCTGTAATGTTTTGTAATGTTATGTAACGTTATGTAACGTTATGTAATGTTATGCAATGTAATGTAATGTAATGCATGTATGTATGTACGTATGCATGTATGTATGTATGTATGTATGTATGTATGTATGTATGTATGTATGTATACATATGGATACCTCTGCAAGGGTCAAGCTGGCGGGTTATGATCGTGAGCGCTGTTTCAGGTTCCAGTCGTACATATCGTATACGGGCGCTTGTTCGCTTCGGTCGTATTTTCAGTCGCTTTGGCCCCTTTTTTCTAATCGCTTTGGCCGTAAAGTAGACATTCCTTCCTTCAGTGACTCGCCCCGATGCCCGGTTCTTGGTTTTTCCCGTTGCCTGGCTGTGGGTTCACGGGTGCTGGTTCTTGGCTCTTGGTCCTTGGTCTGGGGTTCCTCCCTGGTTCTTGGTTCCGAGTTCTTGGTTCTTGCTGCTGGCTTCGTTCCTGGTTCTTGGTTTATGGTTCTTGGTTTTTGGTTTGAGGTTCCAGGTTATTTTTTGTTCCCGGTTCTAGGTCCTTGGTTCGTGGTTCCTGGTCCTGGACGAAAGCAGCGATCACTTCCACGCACGCGCGCAAGGCGATAACGGCTGCCATTGATGTGCATCAATAGCAAAAGTGACGCGTGACTTTGCATGCAAGCGGAACAGCATGTCAGACAGACTTGAGATTTCCCCAACCTAATGTGTGTTGTGGTTGCGGTATCGTGCTTGTTACTAGAGAAGAGCTGTCCTGCGTCATAGACAAAAATCTATTCAAATTTTATCTTTCTATCTATCGATCTACCGATCCATCTATCTATCTATCTATCTATCTATCTATCTATCTATCTATATCTATCTATATCTATCTACATCTATCTATATCTATCTATATCTATCTACATCTATCTATATCTATCTATATCTATCTATATCTATCTATATCTATCCATATCTATCCATATCTATCTATCTATCTATATCTATCTATATCTATCTATATCTATCTATATCTATCTACATCTATCTATATCTATCTATATCTGTCTATATCTATCTATATCTATCTATATCTATCAATATCTATCCATATCTATCTATATCTATCTATATCTATCTATATCTATCTATATCTATCTAAATCTATCTACATCTATCTATATCTATCTATATCTATCTTTATCTATCTATATCTATCTATATCTATCTATATCTATCTATATCTATCTATATCTATCTACATCTATCTATATCTATCTATATCTATCTATATCTATCTATATCTATCCATATCTATCCATATCTATCTATATCTATCTATATCTATCTATATCTATCTATATCTATCTATATCTATCTACATCTATCTATATCTATCTATATCTATCTATATCTATCTATATCTATCTATATCTATCCATATCTATCCATATCTATCTATATCTATCTATATCTATCTATATCTATCTATATCTATCTATATCTATCTATATCTATCTGTATCTATCTATATCTATCTATATCTATCTATATCTATCTATATCTATCTATATCTATCTATATCTATCTATATCTATCTATTTCTATCAATCTATCTATCTATATCTATATCTATCTATATCTATCTATCTATATCTATCTATATCTATCTATATCTATCTATCCATCCATCTATCCATCTATCCATCTATCCATCCATCCATCTATCTATCTATCGATCTATCTTTCCATCTTTCTATTTTTCTATCTAGCCCAATGTAGATGTATGTACACATCAGTTCTAGTGGCATGCATGTGCGTATATTCTATCAAGATAGTTGCATCCATTGTCTTGCTTCACAGGTTGAGGTATATACTGGGCTGGAAAACGTTGTGTGATTCCAACGTGTCCTCGTTTGGGCTTAGCAATGCTTGGACATAGTGCTGTATAGTATATGTTTCGCGGCTGTGGGCTGCAAATTTTGAATGCCTAGCATCACTGGACACAATGCAGCAGCGCAGTACGACAACTCAGAATGTAGCAAAACATTGGTGTAATGAGGATGTTACTGGACGCATTGAAAGAATATATATATATAATTCATTACTGCCAGACCACATGTCCTGTCGCTCGTGGGGTAAGGAAAGAGAGGTAACCCTAGACGTGTGTTTTGGATGCATAACCTGGAAGTTTGTGAGCAATGTGCTGTAAATTTATGATCACAGTGACAATCTTTCGTCGAACAAAATGACTATATGTCCAAAGTGATGGAGATTTGTGACCAAAGTGATCATCATTGGACACGAACTCTGAGATAGGCCAAAGTGATCGTTTTTTTTTGCTTGAAGCGATCATCGGTGGTCACGGGGTGATTTTTGACCAAAGTGATGGAAATTTATGGCCAAAGTGATCTCCCTGCCTATCGGATACCCTCTACATATCAATTACAAGCGTGGACAAGTGTCAGTCCTTCTTAAGGCTCATTTGGATTCTTTCTGCGGATTGCAATGCAGGGCGAAGTTGTCGCTTGGGGAGATCCCACCTGTGGCGGAGACTGCCAAGATGTTGCAGAAGAGCTCAGGCAAGGACGCGCATTTTGATGCAATGACACGTCTTTGAAATGTGATGATTTAGCAACAACCTTTCTTGGAACGAAAAAAAGACAGAGTTGGGACACTTGCACATGTCAAACCAGTTTTTGGATGCACTGGGAACTCAGGAATTGTTTGCACTGGCAAATTTCTAAACCCACAGCCTGTGCGTCCCGTGCCTTTTGTGTGTTGCAACGAATTCGCAAGGTTTGTGCAACATATCTATGCCTCTCAAGGAGCATTTGCTGCGGTGAAGACCCCAAGCAGAACAGTATTTTGTGACTTCTCCACCTAGCTCCCGAGAGCGCCTGTGCGTAGGGTTCTTCCAAAAAGGAGCTGCGATTTTACATCTTCATAACTTACGTCTTCACATTTGGCACCTTCACATCTTACATCTGCGCATCTTGCACCTTGCATCTTCACATCTCACATCTTCACATCTTACGTTTGCGCATCTTACATCTTGACATCTTACGTCTGTACATCTTACATCTTCACATCTTACGTCTTCACATCTTACGTCTGTACATCTTACATCTTCGCATCTTAAGTCTTGACACCTTACATCTTCATATCTTTAGTCTGCAGTCTTCTTTTCTCTTCTCTCTCTTTCCTCTGTTCTCTTTTCTTCTCTTCTCTTCTCTCTTCTCTTCCGTCTGCTAATTCCTATTCTCTCTTAAGGCGGGCTGTGGCCACGAGCGATCAGGACAATGTGACAGTTACCCACGATCGTCAAACACTGGGGAAAAATTGCGATTTGACCAGTTTTTTGCGACCTCTACGCGCGAAATGAAGTTCGATTGGTTTGTTCGCGAAAAACCGAGGAAACTTTGCCACTTTTTGTGCGTCCACCCTGCGTCGGCGGCGCGTTCCGCAAGCACAATGTGAGGTTTTTGTGTGAGTGTTTTTCTTGTCCCGCAACGCATTCCGCAAACTATCAGATAGTCTAGAAACGACCCTCGCCCTTGCAATGTTTATCTTCTTGCTTTTGTTCTGTATCAGTACTAATGCTTCAATGTTCAGCTTTCATCTTAACATCTTGACACCTTGCCTCTTTCAGCTGCTACATTTTCCATTGTTATCATTGCCTTCTTCTCTTCTGCTTATAGCGTACTTCTTTCATATTTATTGCTACATTGTGTTTATATTTGCACGCCTGTAGCTTGGTCATCTACGCTCTCGGGCCATCCGTCGTCTAGTTGTTTCTTGCTGACCATGTCAGATATTATCAGAAGATTTCATGACAAGGAACAATTGTTCATGCAGCGATTCAATAGAGGCTGGTTTGCTTAGGATTGTGCATACTCTTCCACCTTGTTCCTTGAAGGCTCCCAAATCACCAAGGACAGATGGCTCTGTTGTGGCTTGGGGCTCACCTCGTTGTGGCGGCGACGCAGGGGCTGTCCAGTCCCAATTGTGGCAAGTGCGTTCCGTGGTGGCAACGCACCGCGCTTTTGCGGCCTTGTGCAGCTTGGCTTCATCAAAGTGGGGCACGTTGGGAGGTGTTCATCGAAGTGTTGAAACGTGTGTGTGTGTACACTGCTAGTCACATGCCGTTCTGAAAATGTTGAAATGTTATTAACATGCAGGGCGGCCAGGCCTATCACACCCAACCTGGTCCAACGAAGCTGGGATGTGATAGGGAAAGCATCAAAGGACGCTTTGATATGTACTTGCATCGATAGCAACCGGCTAAGTTTAGAACCGGACTTTTTGTATCTTGCATACTTAGTAATCCTTCATTCTGATTCGATCAAGTTGACCAGTTGAACCGTTGAACCGTTTGCTCTTTCAGGGTGATTACCTATAGTATAGGAATTGAGACCTTGACCTCGAGGTGTCGAAGACCACATCTTTACAACGTTCCATAACTTTCCTCATTCAATGTGTTCATGGGTACCCAACCTCACTTGGTTGCACCGTCTCTACGTCTGGACTTGGATGAAAGTGATGGCCGGGCATCTTCCCAAGATTAGAGAGGGATGTCACCGTCGCCGACATCCTGAACCCCTTTGCACTTCGAGCGCAAGAGAGTTCTGAATGTTTAGGTGGACATTCCAAGTTCAACACGGAAATGCTGGTAAGCCATATGGCGAAGCAGCCCTATGGGCGAAGTTCCCACATGGGAGAAGTAGCCATAAGGCGAAGTAATACTCTCATGGACCTAGTGTGTGGTCCTGGCCTCGCATTCCCCTTCTTCCCCCCCTCTTCGGTGCGACCTTGGATACAGGAGTATAGGTGGGTGCGCCTTCCACTCCCCCAGGTGAGTCCAATGGGTGCAGTGCGCACACTTTCTTTTTCTGTCCTTTTCTTGCCCTCTCGCTCTTCCCCCACTTCCCACCCACCCACCCGGTCCCCTCTCTCCCCTTCTTGAGGAGTGCGTTTGTTCCTTCCCTTTGCTGTCCTGCTTCAGTTGTCTTCTGCCTGCCAAGGTTGGGTTCCGTGTGCTGTCTTCCCCGTCCCTCCCCCCGTTTCCTTGCCTTTGCTCTCTGCTTGCTTGTTGTGTGCTCCCCCTGCCTGTTCTGCCTTTGTTGTTTCCCCCGTTTTTCCGTTGTTGGTTGTGGCTGGCTGTCCTTGTTCCCTCCCTCCTTCCCTCGTCCCACTTGTGTGTGCGTGGGAAACCTTGAATCAAAGGGTATAAGCAGGGGGGGAACAGCCCATCTTCCTATGTTGCCCAACGAAGCTATGGAAGATGTGGTGGAAGGGTTCATGGACGCATGAACCTGTTCCTGCTCTCTGTAAGGGATCCGGCTAACCCAAGAACCGGCTTGCCGTTTATCATGTCATGCCATGCGTTTTCTAAGGTAAGTGAGCAAGGTCAAGTGGCAGAGGTCCATCGTCATTTGGTATTTCACAGAAATGGCGACATGACATGACAACATGATAACGTAACATAACATAACATGTTTTTATTTCATCTCATTTCATCCCCTCCCTTCGGGGTGTATCCAAGTGTGTCTTTCATGCACCCGGATCTCTGATAAAGTGCCGGGGAAGCTTGGTGTGCGTCCACCGGGGAAACCAGATTACTTTCAAGTTTTACCAGACATCATGTTGCCAGAAGCAAACTTCGCACAAGCATCCAGACGTTGTTTATCAGCATTCTCCGGCAGAAGCAGAGTTTTCTCAGAATTCGCCAAGAATGCATGTTCAGAATTAGCCAGAATTACAGATTTTTCTTTTCAGAATTCCCCGTGTCAACCCATTCTAGCATGAACATCAGTTGCGATTGAACGCCGTTTTTCAGATGTGACCCGGCAGCCGGCGATACACCAGCTCATTGGTTGCACACTTGGTAAGTATGTTGCGACACAGCAGCCATGAACATTGATCATAGCGCCATTTGGTGTTTGGTGTAATCTCATGGTTTAGGTTTTCATTCTGGAGCAACGACCACATTTGTTGATTTGCATGTTGACTTGCTTGTACTTCCTTGGCCACGACCATGCAGCCCGCGACGACAGCAGCTGATTTGCTTGCGCAGTTGATGAGTCCGCTACCACATAGCACACCAGCAGCAATACCTTTTCTACAACCATTCTTTCCAACTCAACACCAACACCAACCGACGGGACACACTGTCCCACGACCAATGCAACCACCGTTTGCCAATTCCACGTTTGCACAACCTCCGTCCTTTCACACTGTCAACACGCCACATTACAACACAGCCATGCCGGGTCTTCAGCCACTTCCACACTACAACACAGCCACATCAGGCTTTCAGGCATCACCGCCACTGTGTGGTTCATCCTTTACGTACCAACCCACATCACATCCAACCAGCACAACACCGGCACAACCATTACCGACTACGCCGGCTTCACAACAATATCCACCCACCAATGTTCCAACTCCACCACAAAGCAATGCAAAGCACAGACGTACACGCTCTCGCACCGCACGGAAGCACAGATCCACTAGCAAACATCGCAGACAACACAGATCCACCAAGCGACACCACACACGTTACACATCACAGCACAGATCCACCACACCACGTCACAGGCGTCACACATCGCAGCACCGCTCAGGTCGCCGGCAACATCACTCACCCACTGTCAGATCCAGATCCAACCACCGACCACGCACAAGACAGAGAACAACATCTCTTCGCCAACACACTCCACCACGTCACCACACTTCACTACAACAACCGCAACCACAACCACGACCACTTCCACCACCACCATTACCACCACAGCACTACAAGCAACCGCCATCTTCAACCTCACTTATTCGAGATCCACCACCTCAGCCACCTCCCCCACCAACTTCACCTCCACCACCACCAGCACCACTTAGCCTGGCCGATCAAATTCGGTCTGTTGCCATGTCCGGGCCATCTGCCACACCACAACACGTGAAGACCATCACAGCTGCCTTAGTCCACCTGAAACCTCGCCAGCAACACACACCACCAGCACCGCCTGATACCGCAAACACTACAACGACAACACAACAACCACAGTCAGACGATCTACTTAAAGAAGCTATCGAACAACAGATACAGCAAGATCTTTCCGTGCTCACGCCATGGGACCCTCCCATTCGGGACAGTTATCAAGCAGAATCAAGCATTCTAACTACCGTGAGCTAGAACAGCGGATTCACTCTGCACCACTAGGGGCCGTGAGCTCACAGCACCATCCGTGTATTTCCGTTTCTTGGCAAATCGTGACACAAGTGTTCGTGACATGGCGGCTTGGTTAGAAACGCGCTTCCCAGCAGACATCGACCTACCACAAGAACACATTGCCACATCGTTAGCCAAGTACAATGTAACAACTGGCATGCCCAGCAACAACACACTCACCCACATCACATTTCACTAGCATCACTCAACACTGGCAAACATCACTAGCATTTGGATCCTTGAGCCTGATCCAAACTTTCTACACCGACACAGCACTTGCATGGACATGAATGTGAAGATGTTGAGCTACTGCTGCTGCCAACGGATGTGCATATGAGAGGCTGCTGAGGCGACAGTTTCACCTCCGGATCATACTATAATGCAATATTTATCCTTTACTTTGAGGTCATATAACTTAACTTATTTGATTTCTGGCCCGGTTTTGCAGATGATACTCTGGACTTCATATTTTCTAAGCGTTCAAATACTGCTGGAATACAAAATGCCATATTGCTTCGGATAAGATTACGTTACCAAGTCAATTACCAGTAGCACCCTGAACAGAACGTTTCAGCGGAACACCGCAAGCTTCGATGAAGAGTGCAATCATACCAAGCCCGTCGTGGATATAAGTTCACTACGACTTCAAAATTCACCTGCGTCATTACAAAGTTGATGACCTCTTCCATGGGTTTGTTGCTTCGTTGAATCTCCGCTCGACATACAAATCAACAAACAATATGGTTAATTTCGAATTCGTGCGCTGGCCGCCACCGTGTCAACTATACAATTTGAGATTTTGTGGACATCCAATTCAACAAAGAATATCATGTGTTGCTGTTTACTTTTTGCTTATGTAGTCAATGTAGTCACATGGGCTTCATCACAAGCATTGTCAAAGTTGGTGTTCAAATTCATTACATCGCAAAGCGATTTCAGTGCTCATTAGAGGTGCCCATAGATTCACAGGGGCAAATCAGCGTTTCCACCGTTGCTTTGAGTTGTATCATGACGTCGTGGCGTGGCGGCAGCGGTCCTTATGACTCTTGGCATGCGAGACACTACAACATCAACACACCACCACAAGCACAGCATACACGCACACCACACCAACATGGGGAAGAACCACCAAGCCCACAAGGCACAAAGCGGTACGACCGTGACCTACCGAGCACATTCCAGCCCGACAGTCAACATTTTGACACCAAACAGCAGTTTGGCCTGATGTTTCCACGTCACATCACAGCAACAGCTTGGAGCCAGAAGTACCAACTTGCGGGTCGATCCATCGAAACCATCCATCTCCATGAATTGGTATACATGGGGTGGTCCAATTGGAACATACGCGCCTTAGCCAATGGCAAATTCACATCCCTAGTGTTTGCCCGCAGCATCAAAGAATCTATTTTCTTTCATCACCTCTCCATCAAGCTCCGTGATGAGCATGTGGATCTGGATGACATAGCGGCAGCCCACTGTGACCAACAAGGCATTACCATCACCGACCCAGACCCCAACCAGTTGAAAAGACCAAAATCCATCATTTGGTCAATGCCACCATGGATTATTTCCGCCAGTTTGCCAACACCAGCCTCCAAGATGCTCAAGCCAAGATTCGCGCACTCGAGCAGCAGCTTCAAGCACAGCGTCACACCACATCCAACAACCAACTTCCAGTTGTCGACGCGCAAGAACAAGATCTCACAATGACACCTGAATCAACAACAACACCACAGGCCAACCACGACCAACACACACCACCAACAGCACCCAACAAGCGGACCATTCCAACTACTAATGCTGCACAACCAGCTACCAAGAAACCAAGAACATGGACGGACATGGGCATCAAAGCACGCAGCGCTGGCCACACTACTAGTCCACCGCACAACATCACTCCCAGCAGCGCAGGCGACACCATTCCAGCAAGCACAATCACCGACCTACAGGACAACATCCACAACCTACCGGGCACGAACGCCATCCGTCCTTTCACCACAGCAGCACCAAACACAATCGCAGCCAAGACAGTTGACGCTTGGATTAAAAAACAGCCAGTTCCCAAGCAACACCAAGCAACACTTCACGATGCCTTAAGAACACTCCATGAGCTTTTGAAAAAAGTCCCAAAAGCAGAACAAAGCACTTTGCAGATAAAGCAGCATCACTTGGCTTGCCGGTGGCGATGGCGGCACAGGCGCGCAATGAAGAGCTCCACAAGCTGCTGCTGTTTGCGGTTACGCAGCTTGAGTGACTAGCTCGTGACGATCCGAATCATGTACAGTTTTCTGCGGCATGCGTAACTTTTTTCGGATGCCTACAACATTTTCCACCTGAAGATGTTTATGATACTCTTTCTTGTTAGTGTTATCTCATGGTTTAGGTGTTTCATTCTGGAGCAACGACCACAGTTGATTTACATGTTGACTTGCTTGTACTTCCTTGGCCACGACCATGCAGCCCGCGATGACAGCAGCTGATTTGCTGGTGCAGTTGATGACTCCGCTACCACATAGCACACCAGCAGCAATACCTTTCCTACCACCATTCTCTCCAACTCAACACCAACACCCACCAACGGGACGCACTGTCCCACAACCAATGCAACCACCGTTTGCCAATTCCACGTTTGCACAGCCTCCGTCCTTTCACACTGTCAACACGCCACATTACAACACAGCCATGCCGGGTCTTCAGCCACTTCCACACTACAACACAGCCACACCAGGCTTTCAGGCATCACCGCCACAGTGTGGTTCATCCTTTACGTACCAGCCCACATCACATCCAACCAGCACAACACCGGCACAACCAATTACCGACTACGCCGGCTTCACAACAATATCAACAACAACATCCACATGTTGATCACGACACAATTTCCACCGTCGACCTTCAACAAGCAGACACCACCTTGTGGATGTTCAGAGGCCGTCCTCAACAAGCAGCCATGGCTCACCGCCAAATCCGGTTTGGAGACATTTACAACATTTGTGAACTTTCACTGCAAGCATCCATTTTCACACACATGAACCACACATTTCAGCAAGTTACGCGGCAGCGCCATTGGCAATCAAATCAGCTCAGTTCTTGCCAACATCACAGTTAGCCACGTGGAACATGAGTGGCGTACACAGCCACAAATACAACTACTACTTCAGCAACACTCTCACCATCACCAGATACGTTGACAACAGACTTGTCCTTCTAGACAAATCACAACAGCGTCATGATGGCCTGCAGCAATTTCTCACAGACACTTTTTACGAGCCTCCAGTTCTACTTGAACAAGAACCAGGCTTGTCATTCCTTGAATGCACAATCAACCCTGACCTTCAGACACTGTCATACAGTCAACCAACTAACACTTGGCAAATCCAACCTTACTCTTCAGCAGCCTCTAAGCAGCACAAACTTTCAGCCAGCATACAGCCGCATTTGCTTGGCAGCACGACACAGCTACCCACAACAACAAGCAAAAGCTGATGTTGAGCCCTCAATTCAGAAGTATGTATCGCTCGGATATCCCGAACAAGCACTACGAGCCAAGGCGTCCCAGATGCTTCGGCGCACACGCTGGTTGGCACTTGTTTCGAGCTTGATATAATATATAATAAAATAGCAAAGTTGTACTTGATACTGATACCTTGTATTGCTGTCACTTTGGTGCTTGAATTGAAGCCATTTGAAATCTGACCAGCACTATCTTGTTTTGCATTCATCCCGGTGTTTTGAACTGTATGACATAGGCCAACAGCACTGAGGCGCGGTTTTGCCATAACTAGTTTAGTTGGAAACAACTATATTGAGGACAGTCTCTCTTGTATGGAAAATCGTGCCCTGGCGGCTTGCTGTGTGTGGGAACCCTGAATCAAAGGGTATAAGCAGGGGGGCAACAGCCCATCTTCCTATGTTGCCCAACGAAGCTATGGAAGATGTGGTGGAAGGGTTCATGGACGCATGAGCCTGTACCTGCTCTCTGTGTGGGATCCGGCTAACCCAAGAACCGGCTTGCCGTTTATCATGTCATGCCATGCGTTTTCTAAGGTAAGTGAGCAAGGTCAAGTGGCAGGGGTCCATCGTCATTTGGTATTTCACAGAAATGGCGACATGACATGACAACATGATAACATAACATAACATAACATGTTTTCAGTTCATCTCATTTCATCCTCTGCCTTCGGGGTGTATCCAAGTATGTGTGTGTGTGGGGGCAACCCCTGTACCAAAGGGTTATCATCAGACTTACTCCGGCGTCCAAATTTTCACAGTGTACTAGCAGGGGGCGACAGAGTCGCTGCATGGCTGTCGCCAACGACTAGGATATGGAGTCTGATCAACCCCACGTACCTGCAGTTTTTCATCATGTCATTCAGTGAAGGACTGTTTTCATTCAGTGTGTACAGAACAGAATCTGTTTCAGCAGTTTCTTCGAAGAGAGTTCATCACAGCAGTTTCAAGTGTCTTTTGTGCCGAAAAAGGCCTAAAACTGAAATCTCCAGATCCCTTGATGGGAAACAAAGTGACTCATAGACGACAAACGGTCTGTCAAGTGTGTGAAATCCCAAAGTACAGGTCTGTTGGGTTTGATGTATTTCCGATTACCTGAACTGTTCACTGCCAGAGAGTCGTAGAGCATCTGCTGCAGTGGTGGTAGTGCAATAGTTTGCTGGGCATCATGATTTGCCCCTCACAGTGAGGGGCTATGTGTGTGTGTCTACATTGCTAGCCACATGCAGTTTTGAAAATGGGGGGCCAGGCCTATCACACCCAGCCTGGTCCAACGAAGCTGGGATGTGATAGGGGAAGCATCAAAGAACGCTTTGATGTGTATTTGCATCGATAGCAACCGACTAATCTTAGAACCGGACTTTTTGCATCTTGCATGCTTAGTAATCTTTCAGTCTGATTCGATCAAGTTGCATACTTAGTAGTCCTTCATTCTGATTCGATCAAGTTGACCAGTTGAACTGTTGAACCCTTTGCTCTTTCAGGATGATTACCTAGGAATTGGGACTTCGAGGCGTCGAATACCACATCTTTACAACGCTCCATAACTTTCCTCATTCAATGTGTTCATGGGTACCCAACCTCACTTGGTTGCACCGTCTCTACGTCTGGACTTGGATGAAAGTGATGGCCGGGCATCTTCCCAAGATTAGAGAGGGATGTCACCGTCGCCGACATCCTGAACCCCTTTGCACTTCGAGCGCAAGAGAGTTCTGAATGTTTAGGTGGACATTCCAAGTTCAACACGGAAATGCTGGTAAGCCATATGGCGAAGCAGCCCTATGGGCGAAGTTCCCACATGGGAGAAGTAGCCATAAGGCGAAGTAATACTCTCATGGACCTAGTGTGTGGTCCTGGCCTCGCATTCCCCTTCTTCCCCCCCTCTTCGGTGCGACCTTGGATACAGGAGTATAGGTGGGTGCGCCTTCCACTCCCCCAGGTGAGTCCAATGGGTGCAGTGCGCACACTTTCTTTTTCTGTCCTTTTCTTGCCCTCTCGCTCTTCCCCCACTTCCCACCCACCCACCCGGTCCCCTCTCTCCCCTTCTTGAGGAGTGCGTTTGTTCCTTCCCTTTGCTGTCCTGCTTCAGTTGTCTCGCTGCTTTGTTGCGTGTTTTGCTTTGCGCTCTTGCTCTTCTGCCTGCCAGGGCTGGGTTCTCCCCCCGTTTCCTTGCCTTTGCTCTGCTTGCTTGTTGTGTGCTCCCCCTGCCCGTTCTGCCTTTGTTGTTTCCCCCGTTTTTCCGTTGTTGGTTGTGGCTGTCTGTCCTTGTTCCCTCCCTCCTTCCCCCCCCGCTTGTGTGTGTGTGAAATCCCAAAGTACAGATCTGTTGGGTTTGATGTATTTTCTATATTTTCGCCTACTTGAACTGTTCACGGTCAGAGACCGACAAGATATTGTCACATTTCTGAAACGTTTGATGCAGCGTCATTCCGTAGAGCATTTGATGCAGCGGTGGTAGTACAATAGTTTGCTGGGCATCGTGATTTGCCCCTCACAGTCGCGGGCTATGCGTGCGTGTGTGTGTGTGCACACTGCTAGTCACATGCAGTTTTGAAAATGTTTCAAAGTGATTAACATGCAGGTGGGCCAGGCCTATCACATCCAACCTGGTCCAGCGAAGCTGGGATGTGATAGGGGAAACATCAAGCGTCTTGCGTACCTGCATCGAAAGCAACCGGCTAAGCTTAGAACCTGACTTTTTGCATCTTGCATACTTAAATCCTTCATTCTGATTCGATCAGGTTGACCACTTGAACTGTTGAACAGTTTGCTCTTTCAGGATGATTACCTAGGAGTTGAAACTTAACTTTCTTCATCAGTGTGTCACTCGCAGCAAACCAAACTCGACTTCAATGGTGTTTGGAATCGGTTTCAAATGTTTGGGCTGGTCGAAACCGTTCAAGAACGTTTTCCCCCGTACTGTGCACGCTCGGTACTGGGTGTGGTGTTGCGTGCCCCCTACAACAGGATTGTAGGTTTGCTAATTGGAGACAGACCATGGCCGCGTGCGGTCGAAACAGCGTTCACATAATTCCTCGCAACTGGGTCTTGAGGCATCGACGGCACTGTCGTCACTTGGGGCCATGCACAGTGTGGTGGAGACAGCAGTGCTGTCCGTAATCAGCTCACTGATGTGGAGGCAGCGATACTGGGGATCTTGCAGATGGGCCCTGAGTTTTCGATCAGCTTCAAGTTCACATATCAACATGATTACGCACTTTTTCAGTTCGAAATCTAACGCATTCCAGCTGGGATAAGCATGCAGCAGGTTGAGATGGACTTTCAGCTGGTGTCGTTTTGTTTATGAAGCTAGCAAACTGTTGCCCTTCTCCAGCAATGCTGACAGCAATTGTGTAGGTGCAAGAATTCCATGGACTTTTTTGCTTCAGGAGATCTACGCGACGGAGACTGCGTTTGCTGCCCTCAGGCCACTTTTTAGACCCGCAACAGCTCATGACTCATTACTGGTCTGTATAGTCACTAAGTTGCCTCTGAAGCTTCAAGATTCATTCAGACCAGAACGCTTTTGAAGTTGGGGGTAACAACTACAAGGGTCAGTATGCGTCAGTAGAGGTCAGCCGAGGATGTAAGCACAGCTTGAATTTTTTCACGACTATCACACGCTACAATCGTCTTTGAAGTGTATCGCGCTACGCCGCTACGTTCCTGCCTGATTCATCTGATTCTTTTGCTTCGCCTCTGCCAGAAGCAATGGCGATGTCATTGCCTGGGGGGATGACCTGTGTGGTGGTGATGCTCGTGCTGTGCAAGATCAGTGTCCTGGATGAACCGGGATTGGGCACGACGACAACGTATTTTTTCTTTCCACAAAGGTGTTGCAGATTGTGCTGACCTCACGGCAAGTGGTAGAGGATGTCATGAGAACCGAATATACAGGCGCAGACTTGGCAAGATCCATCAAGCCATACGAAGCATGTCTATACAAATGCACTGGATGTCCAGGGTATACTGCATAGAGTGACAGCTTCTAGTTGGTGAAGCGAGTCTTGGGGTTTACTGTTTTATACCGGTTTACCGCGGTTGCCGAAAATACAATATTTAGGTTGCAAAACGATGTATGAACACCCCGAGAACGAGGTAGGCAAAACGAGGTCCGCACATGGGAAACGAGATAGACAACCCGTCGATTACCTGATGTACCAAATATTTTTCACGGCTCAGTATACAGTATTAATTGATACCAAAAATGATTAGATGTGCTCCTTGTAACCCTTCTCCAAGAGCCACCTTTTCACACTTTCACTGTTTTGTCACCATTCTTTTGATGACTTTTGAGGTTTTAGAGTTTGGATTTGAGGGTTAAACCTGATCCTGCGAGATCATGTTTCAAGCTGCTGACCCTGTCAACGTGTCTTCTTTGGCTGCGCGCGTGCAATGAACAGCTCGAATACATACTTTATCTTGAAAAAAAGAGAAGCCGCCCTTCTTAAAAATGCTTCAGATTTCATGGACTGCATTCTTTTGAAGGGAATGCTGCACATGTTGGACGGAAACCGGCATTTTAAGGAAGTGCTGAATATCTTGTAAGAATGCGGCTTCCTGAACAGCAAACTGAGCGTTTGAATGGAATATATAATCGCGGCGTGCCCATTAGGTTTTAATACAGAAACATGGCTCCAAACCGGTCCAAACCATATAAATGACACATGCGCAGTGTGCGATTGATTTTGCCTATTTGCAACACATGGCATCCATCATCTTCCGGTAGTGTGCCCACTGTGTTTTGCCAAACCTGGTGACTTAACACGCTTGGGTCGATTTAGGGCGAGCGTACATGTTTCCATGCGGTTGGGTTGACTTTATGCGACCTGGGGTGACTTGCTGCGCCTATCTACTTGTACTTTACATTGAAGGAAACTGCGTTTCGAGCGATAATTGCATCTTCAAAATCAAAGTTGTTTCTTTCAGAGAGAACTACTTCTTGAAATGAATGCTACATGTTTGAGAGAGGTCCTCATCTTTTCAGTGAACGTTAACGCTTTAGTTTTGACACAGCTCTTTAATAAAGCTTATTGCATCTCGTGAAAAGCAAACTACATATTTTCAACATTTTTCAAAAAGATGGCGTGTGTTTTTGGGACCTTGTGAAAAAAAAAACACACCATCTCCTGAAGAGATCATGCGTATTACCGTAGGAAGGAATATTGACTTTATACGGGGATGCAGCATCTCTTTTATGTTCGTTGTTACCTTTTTTGAAAGAATGCTTAAATTTTGACAGGGAGGCTACCAGTTTAAGGAATATTGAACCTTGCTTAAATCGTATCATACATTTTGCTTCTTTGCAAGAATACTGGGTTTCTTTCAAGCCAAGGCAAAATACAAACCTCATGGAAAACAGTATTAAACAGTATTGCAAGAGGATTGAAATAAACATGATTGCATCCCCCCGTGGGAAAAAACATATTCCGAAGAACTTGAACAAAAAAGAAGAACAGAAGACCTACCGTATAGTTTCTGTGATAAGCCCCCCCCAAAGTTCCAAGACAGTCTACAGTTTTGTGTTCTTGTCATTCTTGTTTCCCCAAGGTTTTTTTGGCAGGCTTTGGGACAATGGGCCAACGAGTTGAGAAAACTCCACAAAACAGACACACACACTTGCTTGTGAGAGAATGATGGGATTGAGGCTCAAAAGACAAGTGTGGTTTTGATTGAATTTTTGTTTTTGTTTGTCCAAAGGAAAACTGCCGAAACAAAAAATTGAGGTTGGTTCCCTGGTGGGCTTTGCCCGTGTGCCCATGTGCCCGTGTGCCCGTGGATCGGGGTTGTGCCCGTGTGCCCGTGTGCCCGTGTGCCCGTGGATCGGGGTTGTGCCCGGGTGCCCGTGTGCCCGGCCAGCGACAAGTCCAGAAGTTCAGAAGTGACACGCTGGCAGGACTGGTTCTTATGGTAGATGTACAGGCCCATGCCTGATCAACATCATCATTTTCCCCTCCCTTAACGTCATCATTCGCCACCTCATCTTCCGCAGAATCATGATCCTCCACTGGATGTCCCGCAACATTGTTATTCTTGTCATCCCCCTTCTCAATCAACATTCCTCCTCAACATCATCATCTTCCTCCTTCTCCATGTCATGATCTTCGGCCTTTTCATCCTCCACTTCAATCATCCTCATCATCCACAAAACAAAGGCATGCAGAACAAACATTATTTCACAGTGATTTTTCGTTTTTCGAGTTTGAACATTATTTCAGAGTGTATTTTCTGACCAGAGCACTTGAATGCCCAGAATTGCATCCTTGCAGCCACCATGTTTGTATCGTGGAACGGCATCCTTAAAAAAAGCCAATGCAATTATTCCTTGGAATTCAGTGGATTCTGGCACGTCACATGGCTATCACGCCCCAACATAATCCTGGGACATGTTGTTCCACGTTTTGTTGCTATCAGTTTAGCTAGATTTCTATACATTGATTTGATATATGTACTAAATCCATTACATTTGGAACATTGTTGGGTTCCATGCCCACAACGTGTGGAAAAGAGTGGATCTGCTTAAGAATAAATTCCCCCCCTGAATCAGATCGAGCTCTTATCCCGCGAGCGCTGTGCTGCAGACTGTTCCCAGGCGTCTCTGAGTGCAAAGATCAGGTAGGATCGTGCCATCGCGGGGGCCAAATGGTCCAGTGCCAAAAATTGCAGGACAAGCAGTAGGACGACGGATTTCATGCTGAGATTTTTGCATTTTGCTGGATGTGTGTTGCTTAGATATTGTTAAAGACGTTTTTTTGAATTGTTTTTAGCTAAGGGTTGCTGCGAATCACCACTTGCTGAACTAAAAAAATATAGAGGGTTCCATATGAAGCTTTGGAATATGTTTAGGTTTGGCCGCAGACAGTTTGCACTTGCAAGCGTCTTCCCTGCAGAAACTTAGAGGGAATTCTACTTATCGATGTATCATTTTGCCTATGTATCTATATGTCTGTGTGTCTGTCTTGCTATCTACCTACCTATGCATCTGTCTGTTTGGCTGTCTGTCTGTCTGTCTGTCTGTCTGTCTGTCTGTCTGTGTGCGAACCGGTTGCTGCAGCGTGAGACCATACCTGCATGATGAGCTCGTTGCCCGTCGTTGTAGACCTTGGTGTTTGTTTGATGGCGTGTCGCTGTCCTTGCCGTGTTGTTTGCGTGCAGCGTAATGTTGTTGTTTGCCTTGATCTTAAGTCATTTCGTCATGCGTTGCTATGGCTCCGTGCGCCGTAGATTCCTTTCTGCGGGCTCGCCGTTCTGCCGCCGCAGTGTTGTCATGATTCTGTCATGTTACCTGAGTTTCGTTGATTCCTGCGCCGTTGTTTGCGTGCAGCGTAATGTTGTTGTTTGCCTTGATCTTAAGTCATTTCGTCATGCGTTGCTATGGCTCCGTGCGCCGTAGATTCCTTTCTGCGGGCTCGCTGTTCTGCCGCCGCAGTGTTGTCATGATTCTGTCATGTTACCTGAGTTTCGTTGATTCCTGCGCCGTTGTTTGCGTGCAGCGTAATGTTGTTGTTTGCCTTGATCTTAAGTCATTTCGTCATGCGTTGCGATGGCTCCGTGAACCGTAGATTCCTTTCTGCGGGCTCGCCGTTCTGCCGCCGCAGTGTTGTCATGATTCTGTCATGTTACTGAGTTTCGTTGATTCCTGCGCCCGTGTGCCCGTGGATTCCTCGTGTGCCCGTGGATTCCTCGTGTGCCCGTGGAGTCCTCGTGTGCCCGTGTGCCTGTGGATTCCTCGTGTGCCCGTGTGCCCGTGTGCCCGTGGATTCCTCGTGTGCCCGTGTGCCCGTGTGCCCGTGAGGAGACCTATCTGATCTCAAAAAATTACCTTGAAGCGTTTGTTGTTCAAACAACAATACAAACAACAACAAGACTCAAGTAAAAAAAACAAGAAGATAATGCTTTAAGGGTTGGGAAACCAAAGTCGCCTTCAGTTTTTGTGTTTTTGTGATTTTGCCTGAGTGGCTGATCTTTTTTTAAAGAAATTGTAGTTTGTAGTTTCATGTGAGACAACAAAAAGCATATCAGATTCAAGGCAATTAAAAACACATCTTTTGAGCCTCAAGCCAGACATTCTCTCAAACGATAGTTGTTTCCTCTATTTTTTGTGTTTCCCGGAGGTTTTGGCAAAATCTTCCCGGAATGTGCAAAAGTCTCAGCGAAGACCAAACAGGACCAAACAAATTCAAACAAAACCAACAAAAACATCTTTTGCGCGTCCAACCAAACATTCTTTGAAAAGTGTTTTTCATTATCATAATATGCATCAGTTTGAAGAAGCGCACTCTGTACTCGGGTCTGCAGTTTCTGTTCCATGTTGCCTTTTAAAAGTATTCGTGTAGATTTTCTGCCTGATTTCGAAGCCAAACGCGCAGTATTCAAATATAGATTAGATTCAGGTGGAAATGTAATTGTTGATTACTTGCGTAAATCTTGCAGAGTTGGGTATGTTATGGTATGTCCTATATTTGCATGAATATATGGCATCTCCAGATTGCACTTGTCATGTCCTGGCGGGCGTGTGCTGTGCAGTGCCGTGATGTTCTGTTATGTGATGTGATGTAGTCTATTGTCGAGTTGTCTGTCTGTTTGTCAGGCTGGCTAGCTATCTGTCTGTTTGTCTGTCTGTTTGTCTGTCTATCTTTCTACCCTTTTACATATCTTTCTATGTTTCTATCGTTCTATCGTTCTATCTCCCTATCGTTCTACCGAGCTATTGTTCTATCTTTCTATGTTTCTATCTAATCCATCTAATTTATCTAATCTTTCCAATAATCCATCTGATTCATCTAATCCATCTAATCCACCTAATTCATCTATATAATTCACCACCCAATCCAACCAATCCATCTAATCCATCTCATATATCTATCTATCGGCCCTAATCCTATTCTATTCTATTCTAGTCTAAACCAATCTATTCTAGCCTATTCTTTTCTATTCTGCTCTATTCGATTCTGACCGATTCTATTCTAATCCATTCTATCTAATCTATCTATTATATCTATTATATCTATTAAATCTATCTATCTTTCCATCTATCTGTCTACCTATCTATCTATCTATCTCTCTCTCTCTCTCTCTACCTACCGGTGGTGAAAGTCGTGGCGGTTGTATACTTTTCTTGGATTTATCTCGCCGGTTTTAGGAAGTTGTTACGGTTCTGGCACGCCTTTGAGTGTATCTACCTATCTACCTACCTACCTACCCCTCTTCCCCCCTCTCTTTGTCTCTCTGTCTGTCTGTCTGTCTGTCTGTCTGTCTACCTATCTATATGTACGTATATATATATATATATACATAATTTCACACAGCAGACACATAACCTGCGTATCATATCGTATCATATACTTTTTTTGCAATATGATCAAAAATCACTGTAATGGAATGTAATATGATATGGTGTGAAAGAACGTCATGTAATGTAATGCAATGTAATGTAATGTACGGTACGGTACCATTAAATGATGTGATGCAACATATTCGGACATATACGTTGCAGTATAATAGAGCGCTATGAAAAGGTTTCAAGGTAATTTGCATTGATAAAGTATATTACCATATACAGTGCTATGTCATGTAATACGACAGAGCTCAAGGTATAATATGATTTAATATACTACAATATGACATGACATGTGAGATAGTATACTGAAATATGCAATATTACGTCATGTAATACAGCACGTAGTGTAAGATCAATCGTGGAACATAACAGATGTAGCTTAAAATGATAAATGTACATTATGAATTGATACGAACAGATATCATATAATAGTCGATGCAGTGCACAATATGGCATAGTATAAAGAACATAAAATTATATATAGATATACATATATACATATACGATTATGATATGATACTATTTGATATGGTTTAATTTATTGTGACTTGACATTATACGAAGTAACAACAAAGATTAGAAAAAAAACAATTCAATCCGATGCGACATCCTACAATGTCATGCAATGCAATATAATATATAAGACATTTGCAGTGCAGTAAACAGCAGATGTACACGGCGATGTACACATAGATATGATGTTAACCATTTTTGCGGAAATGAATTGGAAAGACTGTGTGACGTTGTGCGCTTCGTTGTGTTGAGGTTACGCAATGTCTCATCCATCTTTGCCTCGAACAAAGCCTTCGCAGCCCTCAAGGAGAATGGCAGTGTCGTGACTTGGGGCAAGGCTCGGAAATTTGGACAGATGATACCGTGATGCACAAATTGTTTGGATTTACTATCCGCAGTTAGTTTGTGGTGCATTACCATTGCGCTTTGCACTCCGTCAACTCTCCCTGAACAATTTCAATAACTAGGGTAACTAGGGACTCACATGTGGAAACCTCACTTCACAAGTCGACTGAAGGACCAAGGCAAGATCGTTGACGCACCGAGAAAAACGAAAAACATCATAGAACAAATTCAAATTGCCTGCAGTTTTCAAATGATAGGCTCTGTCTGGCGGCAACTCTTCTGCGGTTCACGATCAGCTTTATGTCACTCGGTGGACTCCAACGGAGGATATGTTCGGAAATTCCAAACCAATTTGGAACAGACATCAACTCATATCAACTCACTCTCCTGAAAGGCGTCTTATATTCTACTTGCATGCAGTTTATGCCGTCTTTTGTTCGAATCTATATAATGTAGACAAGACTTGAGAGTGAATGCTCTGACACGCCCTAACATTTCCTAGGACGTGGAGCGTGTCTACTGTGGACATGCAATGGCTGCGTTGCGCAAAGATGGTTCGGTGATCACCTGGGGACACAGTGCATATGGTGGAGACAGCCGAAATGTCCAGGCTGGATTTTGTGCAAACTATTCTGTCGGTCTTACATGACTCTTACATGACTCTTACATGTCTTCCTGATCTTACTGTACCTTGCCAATTTTGCTGTGGCCATGAAACCATGGTGAAACAATGTACTCACCCTGACCAAACGAGCATGTCCCAATTCAGGACTTACATCTTGAAGACTGTATACAAATTGTACCATTTTATACAAATCCAACCTGATATGTTACAATACTATTTGTTTTGGAGACTGTACCAGATTCTGTATGAACGAGTATAATGGCGGCATAGTGTTTTGTGAGCGTGGAAATGTGTCGGTGATATTCATTCATGTATGCAGGGTTCACAGCGGAGAAAACTCCATTTGACGGTCATTGGCTACATATTAGAAGATAGAATTTTGATGGGCCCACCTGAAGAACTGACTCATGGTCAACAGGCAAAGTCCTTTCAGCCTTTTAAGAGACAAGACGCACTCGACAAGTATGGAACAGTTGCCTTGTTGCAGCTGCTTTTCTGTGAGCCAGATGCAGCTTGTGCCAGGGGAAGCTTCTTGATGTGGAACAGATCTATGCCAGTGATGCCGCTTTTGCTGCCTTGAAGCAAGATCGCACAATCGTGGCCTGGGGCCATTCAGAGTATGGTGGCGACTCTAGTGCAATTCAGGAGTGAAACCTTCTCCGACCCGCAAGGTTTTAGTGACAGTTCAATTCTCAAGTTCACCTCTTTTATGAAGTAGCTCCGAAGTTTGCAAACATATCAAGTCATATCAAATCATATCAATTCATATCAACATGTCATCCCAAACATGGCACGATGAGATTTGCAGGAAGAGCTTGTGAGCATTCAAACTGTCCAGGCACAGCCCGCATAAGGGAACAGGTCAGATATGGTCATGGAAATCCTTGGAGTTTGAGTGACGTGTGTGGCGTGTGTGGCTGCAAGAGTTTGCAGAAATACACAAAAACAGCGTCCAACCCTGTGGGAAGTGGACTTCTGTGGATATAGCCAATTATTTATTTATATTTTTTTTTTTTTGAAACATGCCAGTAGCTCTATGCTGACATCGCCGTGTCTGCAGCGTTGATGGGAGGCAACCTCCTCGGCATTTGCAGCTTTGCGAGAAGACGGCACTGTGCACACTTGGGGCCTCCCACACAAAGGAGGCGACAGCTCTTCGGTGCAGGACCAGCCAGGTGCATTTACAAACTCTTGCTGGTCCCAGCAATAATTTTGTATACGTATCATTTCACATTTGCATTTGACACATTGGGAATTGAATAGTATTCGACGCTTATCTCTAATTAATTTATTTGCATATATATATATACACATATTATGAAGTTACATTTGCTTTTGACAAACAGGGAATGCGATTCGATACTTAAATTCTTAACTATGATTATGTTTGATGTTTGATACTTAGTGATTGACATTTACACATGACAATATTGAGACTTGATGCTCACTATCATATTGCCCAAACCTGGGCGTCAAACCCATTCCTGCGATCTCCTGTGTGTATTTTCATTTCTTCAGCTGCTACAATGCTACAAGATGCTGCAATAGTATACAATAGTGATCACAGCTCTGTGGCATTCTGTGGCTCCGTGATGTCATGATAGCGCTTACATAGTTGTCACCTGATCCAGTTGATCCTTCTGGTTATGCAGTACAAGTAGACGAACCATGTACAGTAAGACTCGTAAAAACTCATTGACGGCTAGAGTTTGGCCTTGCAAAGTGAGGGGGATGTCACACATGAGCTGCACGGCCGCATGTTTTCTGTATGATTCTAGGATAAACGTGTGCCCTTACGGCTGTATGCAATTATATTTTTATATTTTACAGTCTTTTCATTGCCGTTCAAGATGGTTTAACTGGTTCCGTCCAGCCCGGACCTTGCTCCACGCTTACGCATCATTATCATCATCATCATCATCATCATCATCATCGCCATCATCATCATCATCTTCATTATCATCATCATCATCATCATCATCATGATATCAATGTCATTATCATCATGACATGATGATGGTGATGATGGTGGTGATGATGATGATGATGATCACCATCATCATCACCAGTATCAACTCATGTGGAATGGGGTAATACCATCAACTTATATGTCTTGTATTCAAAAGGGATCATAAATCAGCCACCCCCTATGACAAATATGTTAAATGGTGTAATCACATCAACGTATCTTCATCAGGTATCAAAAATCCACCACCCCATATAACAAATATGTTAAATGGGGTAATCACACCCACTTATCTTCATAAGAGATCAACAAATCCACCACACCCTCTGACAAATGTGTTGACTAAGGAATAACATCAACTTATCTTCATAAGGGATCAACAAATCCACCACCCCCTTTGACAAATATGCTGATTCTGAAAATAGCATCAACATATCTTCATAAGGGATGACGATGATGATGACGATGATGGTGATGATGACGATGATGATGGTGATGGTGATGATGATGATGATCATCATCATCATCATGATCATGATCATGATCATGGATCACATATACATCTACATTTTGAAAGTCCACCAGCATGGCATTTCAAAAATACGCAACCTTCCACAATTCCGGCGCAGAGCAACGTCAGGGTTACACCGAACTAGTTTAACCAATGTTTTCTTGCACAGACCCACTCAGCGCAGGATCAGCTGTATGAGGTCAAAGAGATCGCAGGATCGTACGGAGCGTTTGCAGCGCTGCGCAACGATGGCGCTATCATTACGTGGGGAGATGCGAACTACGGTGGCGTAGCTTGGATGCCTTCAGTCTAGTCTCAGTAGACTCAGAACACTCCGCACGTTGTCACATCTCAAAGAGAGGCAAGACGGCCGTAAACCAGACACCAGCAAGGATTACTAGAGCGAACTTTGTTTTTTTCTCCAAAGTGTAGCTTGAAACGGACCGTTGTTGGCGAGTGCAAAAGGACTTTGAATGCCTGTCTAATGGGACATGACGTTTTGCAACCATTGGTACACAAATTCTTCCTTGCGAAAGGACAGCTCCCCTGTGCAGCCTTTGATCGTTGACATGTTCTGAGCTCAGAGCTCAAAGCTCAAATTCAGAAAGGAGATGGAGGAACATGTACCTCTTAAGTCACTTAAATTGAAAGATTGTTTTCTTGTTTTCTAACCTCTTATATGGGTCTATGGTGCTTTAAAAACCAGTTTAGTTTTTTGGTAGAATACAGCGAACCATTCATGTACTACGTACTGGCTGCTTTGTTCACCATCGAATCCTCAATATACCCATGTGAATGTCGTGATCGGACATTCTCTGAATAGTCCAGTCTACCTGCGACAAGTTCCAAGACATAGATTTCCGGCAGAGTTGTTTTGCTGTTATGGACTCTGCCGTTCTCGAGGAGTCGTATAGCAAAAGGCCAGTAATTATCGAAGCATCAAGCTTTGCCAGCGCGGGTTCCTGCAAGTTTTGCAAGTAGTAAACAGCCGAGTTTTAGACATCAAGTAGAAGAAGCACTTTGGCAAAGGTTTGAGGCCTCTGCATGTTCCCTCGAGGGAAGCATTTCTTGGTGGTAAAATGCCCGCTAGGGAATGTTTCTGGGAGTCTTTGGTTTCAGTTGTAAAAGGATGTAAAAGGTAGGTAGTTGTTGCCAAGTTCCCACTGGACCAACACGGTTCTGAGTGCGTGGACGCTTTGAGGGCATAGCTGAGAAGCATAGCTGAGTGGCAACTAACTTCAAATTCCAAGCTGAGGGTTTGGCGCTTCGACGGTTTCAGGCCTTACAATTGCGGTCTGATTCCCGTGTTCTTTGCATGACACTCATGACGCATGTCCAGAAGGTGAGGTTGCAAAAGCAAGGTAGGCCTTTTAGAAATGCTGAAATGACTGCAATGTACTTCAATGTGCTATCAAATAGGGCATTTATGCATGTGCATTCAATAATATTCAATATTTTTGAAACTCGCTCTTTTGAACATGTTTGAACTATCTATGTGACATAACGCTTGCTTTTGAAACGCTTGGTTCAGATGCCAAGGGGCCAACTGATACCAAAGATTGAGCACCCGACCAGCAGGAGGAAGCAGTGGTGTGAAAACAACTAGGCACCACCCCCAAACTATTCAAAGGGTTGCAGCCAGCCCTCAACCAGTTCAGGGCATAGCACGCAGATTCTATAGAAGTATGTTTCTGATAGGAATGAAACAAAGGAAACTAAGCGAATCTTTGTTTCTGATAGAGTATATCACAAGATATCACAAGATATCACAGGTCATCGCCTTTTGCTTTTGCCTCCGAGCTCTTGACCGAATTCGCTATGCGTTCCCTCTGACAAGATCCAATTCTAATTCGACTTCCTGCGTACCCAACGGGGACTGGGAATATGGTGCAGCCCCCCAAGCTGCAAGGCGCACATGGGTTATTTATGAATTCAAACTCATATGCGTCATATGCGACGGATCTTCCTGGTGTGCTGCAACATGGCACAACGTTTAGGACAGTTTGTAATAATGTTCCATGTGAAGCTGATTGAAGCTGAACTCGTGGTGCTTGGAGGCTTTGCAATGCAAAAACTGTGCAGGCAGCTTTTCCGAACCCAAAATACGAATTGATACTGCGATTTTGTGTGCACTTCACCAGCTGCTGTGGATTTTAAAACTTTAGAAGTTGTGAAACAGGTGGTGGCATGCACCAACCATAGCATGGCCATGCGCAAGGATGAACACGCCATTGCAAAATGGCTCAAGTGCGGGACGAAAAAGTTTTGCACAGCCGACGCGCTCTGCAGTTGTTTATCCACTATGAGCCCAACGGATCTCGACATGGAGCTTGCAGGGCGCCGTGAGTCTTCTGTGCATTGACGTGCAGCTGCAGCGGTGAATGCGGCGCAAGTGGCTAGCTGTGCGGATGACATGATGCAGCAGCTGCTGGATGGAGCAACTGGGTCTGAAAATGGTGGGTCTGTGGGAGCTCTGGCTAGTGAGCCCAATACCACTGGATGATACTGGATGTGTGACTGGTGGGGGCATGTTGGATGCTCTGGGACTTGTAGGACGTCCGTTGTGTTTTTCCCCTGGTGAGCCCCATGTTGGTTGAGAGTAACCCTAAGGCTAGTGAAAACTTCGAGGTGAAACAGAATGTTGAAAAAACTCCTGGTGTGCAAAGGGTTGTTGTCCCCGAAAAGCAGCAGTCTGGGAACCTGCAAAGGGATGAGGGGTCTAGACCTAGTGCCGAACCAGCGCAAAGGGCTGTGAATGAACATAGCTCCGTGGGTGCTACTGGTAAGGGAAGAGGGTCAGGGTCCGAGTCTCGTAGGATAGAGCCTAGACAACAAGTTGCTGTGGAGGGTCGTAACCTAGCCAGGGTTGAAAATGTGCTTCAGGGCTCCAATGCGAAGGATTCTGACGCTTGTGATGTGCCCCAGGGCCGCAATGTGAAGTTCTACATAGGTGACGGGCCTGAGGGCTCCGAGCGTGCTGTGGTTCCAGAAGAATGGGAAATGTTGCGAATCCCTTCTGGAGCAAAACTCCAAAACTCAGCAGCGTGAAGCTGTCCAAGAAGCTTTCGGGGGTACGACGTGATTGCCTTGGGTTTGCACCTTGGGTTTGCAGCCGGGTTCAAATTCCTCAACGCCCCAAAAAGTTTGTGTGGAACAAAGGGGAAATGTTGATGTCGAAATGGACCCACCTGAGTTGCTCCGATTGCGTTGTTTGCGAGAAGCTGAAGAAAAGTTCCGTCAAGGTTTGTTGCATGTGGGGATGAGTGTCAAAAAAGCCCGGGGTGGAAAAACATGGAATTGAAAAAGGGTCTTCTGGTTCACAAAGTCCATAAGCCTCGGTCCTGGATTTCCAAGAGCCTGGAATGCCCAAGTCACATGATGTGGTTGAACCCCAAACGGTTCCTGAGCCAGTTGTAGGTAGGGTTGCACCTGAACCAATTGTGCCGACAGTTGTTGAACCGTTTGTGCGGCCACCACCCGGGCCACCACCTTCTCCTCCAAGACTGTTGGCTAGTGGATATGGTTTGGGGTTGTGACACCTCCAATCCCACCTGCCTTGCCGCCTTGTCCAGGTAACTTGCAAAACTCAGGTGGATTCGGTGAAAATCCTTCTGGAAATCCCAGGGATGTGGAACTGCCGAAGTTGTCGATGGATGCCACTGACTTGCAATTAGGTGACTGGCTTAGCATCATTGATTCTCTCATGGGTGACTTGTCTTGCTCATCGGGGGGTTGGTGGGCTTTGGTCAGGGGAGCTGTTGGGTCCCATTGAACGGTTGATGAGACTTCGCCCACAAGTGGATCCTAGTGTTCAACTTTGGCCCCAAACTGAAAGAAGGGCATTGTCCATGCTGTTGGGATCTATCCCTGATCCAATCAAAGAAGAAATCATGGCAGCTCGAAAGCTCACCCCTGACCAGGTGTTGTATAAGCTGTGCATCACCTTTCAACCCGGAGGTGCGTCTGAACGCACCAAATTGTTGCAGAACATCACGGGTTCCAAGTGTGGTTCTAATGTTCATGAATTTTTGGATTGGATTCGAACCTGGCGAAGGTTTGTTCAAAGAGCCAGGGAACTCCAAGTCACTTTGCCTGATGGTTTGGTTTTGCTAGGAGCACTGACCAAATGCACGGATGTCTTGAGTGGAAAATCACCACAAGTGGCATATCGTCTCAGCATGATCCACCAGCAGTTTAATTTGGATCAGTTGCCAACAGCAGAGACGATCCTGAGCTACTCCGAGCATTTGCAAGCTGAAGCTGAAGAGCTGACCTTGAGTGTGCCTGTGAAGGCAACTTCGGCTGTGAAAGCTGCTGCTCTGGGTGTGTCGCCACCTCCTGGGATCCCTCAAAATCTTCAACCTGAATCGGAGCAGAAATCTCCGCACCAAAGAAGAAGGCTTGTAAGTTTTGGATGAGTGAAAAAGGGTGTTCAAGAGGGGATCAATGTCACCTTGGTCATGCCCCCTTGGGATCCTCAAAGTAATCGATGTTTCAACTGTTCTGCTGTTCGTCACTTCAGACGTGAATGTCCCTTGAAAGCTGCAGGGTTTGACTCCAAACTTGATCAAGAGGGTTGCCAAGGTGTCCAAAAAGTCACCCTGAAAAAACGCTTGGGGATGTTGACACTGCAGAGAAGCCGCTTGGTTCCGAAACTGTGTTGAGAGCTGGGCCGGAAACTGGGATGGGGAGAAGCGACTCCTGAAAGGGTCACTGGACTTTTGAGTGAAGCCACCACTCGCCTGAAAACCCTCAAGCCGGCTGCTCCTGATGGTCCCACAGGTCTTTTGGATGGGGGAGAAAACAAATGCTTTGAGAAGGGGAACCCCTCAAGAATTGGCCGATGCTGATCCTGTTTTGGTTGAACTTGCACATGGGTCAGTGGAACTATCACAACATGCTTTGACGGGGACCATTCTTATTGAACATGCGGTTGAACCCATTGTTCCTTTGCGGGGACTTGTTGATCTGGATGCCGAAATGTCACCCGATGCTCCGCGACCAATGGAAACTGTGGATGCATGTTGAGGGGAGGGACTGGATGAAAAAGAATACTCCCTTCAGGGGGACGAAAAAATTGAAGAAAACCCTGCAGGGGGTGATGGTGAAAACGTGAAAGACCATGATGGGGGTGATGGAAATGCAGCTGAATATGAACCCTCAATCATGGGCGAAGATGAACAGAAAGAATCGGAGTCAAAATGTTTGGAAAAAGCTGTGGGAGAGTTGTCGCAACCAGCCAAAGTGCGTCATGTCACACTCATGGAGCCTGTTGGGTCCCGAAATGTGAAACATGTGATGCCCGCGATGGATGCTTTGGTGACTAGGATGCGATGCATGGGTGTTTGTGTCACACGTGTCCGTTCAGATAGAGCCAAAGAACTGCTGGCTCGCAAGTTCAGGTCGTGGGTCGCACAAAGAAGCATTATGCATACGTTCACAGCCGGTGATGACCCCCAAAGTAACGGCCATTGTGAGGCCGAGGTGAACCAACTAAAAAGGCGTACCAGGTCAGGAAAATACCACTTGGCCCCAGGCCATGCGATACGCCACTGAGGAAAGACTGACTGAGGCAACAAGCGGAGCTCCTTGGTTCCCCTGTTCAAAAAATGTTGCCTTACAATTCCCTGGTTTTGGCC